TTAGCTACCATTTAGTAGGGTCTAGAGATCTTAGGACCAATTTTGGTTTATAGTTAATGATTAAATTCAAATTCAAATTTTTTTCCCTAATTCCCAATATTTTTTTCTTAATATAACTTGAGCATATGGCAAACTTTTCATATGGGAAAATGCATGCAGTATTAGGGTTGTCCAAAAAATGTGGAGCAAAGCAAAATATAAAATTTTGGACATTTATTTAGTTAATACTTAAAATAAAATAAAAAGTAATGGAATACCAAAGTGTATTTGTGGAAAATGCAAAGTGAAAATATGCATATGCGATATTAATATCAATATACAAGACACTTGATCAGTTCGAAAAGCTTAAAAAAAAGCTTTGAAAGGAGGCAGTAAAAAGGCCAGATCTTATCATATGTGTGAATGTGTGTATCTGATATAGGTGCTGTCACATGCTCACTCAGCAGAGCACCAGATGGCCTGTTTCTGAGCTGTGGCAGACGGCATTGCACGCTAATTCTTCCTCATCTGACTGAGTACAGGGAAGCGCATGGCTCATGGTGCTAAGCTGATCTGTCTCCAGGGCAACTGCTATTTCTGCCCAGCCGTAACACTCTACACTAGCAGCACCCCGACCGACGACGGGGCCTCTCTTTGATATCCCGCTCTCTCTTTCACATCTGTACGCTGCTGCTGAGGTGCAGCTGGTTGCCCATAGCTACAGGGTGTGGGTGGTGCTGGAAACTCATCTGGTAGCAATAAAAGCCTTAATGCAATGAGTCATATCTACGCAAACACACATACTGAGAGCCAACCTATTTAAGGAACAGGGGCCCTACCTTTACGAGAACAGCTCCCCATCTTACTACTCTCACTTGTACACACGGAACTCACCATCAACACAAGATTGTGAATGAGTTTTGCTTAGTCAACACATGAACTTAATGTGTCAATAATAGAAATCCAATGCATGACTTTAGCATTTTCAAAATAAATGTGATATTCTGTGTCATTTTATAATATATGTCCATGGACTACAGCTGGAGTGAGCTCTAATAGCTAAACTGGCATTTTACAGAAATTTTACAGTAAACATTAATTCATTAGGTATCATCAATCAATAATATACAATTTTACAGCATTTGTTAATCTGTTATTATTATTAATTGCTAATTAATTATAATAGATTAAACATATATTCTTAGTTAATACTTAAAATAAAATAAAAAGTAATGGAATACCAAAGTGTATTTGTGGAAAATGCAAAGTGAAAATATGCATATGCGATATTAATATCAATATACAAGACACTTGATCAGTTCGAAAAGCTTAAAAAAAAGCTTTGAAAGGAGGCAGTAAAAAGGCCAGATCTTATCATATGTGTGAATGTGTGTATCTGATATAGGTGCTGTCACATGCTCACTCAGCAGAGCACCAGATGGCCTGTTTCTGAGCTGTGGCAGACGGCATTGCACGCTAATTCTTCCTCATCTGACTGAGTACAGGGAAGCGCATGGCTCATGGTGCTAAGCTGATCTGTCTCCAGGGCAACTGCTATTTCTGCCCAGCCGTAACACTCTACACTAGCAGCACCCCGACCGACGACGGGGCCTCTCTTTGATATCCCGCTCTCTCTTTCACATCTGTACGCTGCTGCTGAGGTGCAGCTGGTTGCCCATAGCTACAGGGTGTGGGTGGTGCTGGAAACTCATCTGGTAGCAATAAAAGCCTTAATGCAATGAGTCATATCTACGCAAACACACATACTGAGAGCCAACCTATTTAAGGAACAGGGGCCCTACCTTTACGAGAACAGCTCCCCATCTTACTACTCTCACTTGTACACACGGAACTCACCATCAACACAAGATTGTGAATGAGTTTTGCTTAGTCAACACATGAACTTAATGTGTCAATAATAGAAATCCAATGCATGACTTTAGCATTTTCAAAATAAATGTGATATTCTGTGTCATTTTATAATATATGTCCAGGGACTACAGCTGGAGTGAGTTCTAATAGCTAAACTGGCATTTTACAGAAATTTTACAGTAAACATTAATTCATTAGGTATCAACAATCAATAATATACAATTTTACAGCATTTGTTAATCTGTTATTATTATTAATTGCTAATTAATTATAATAGATTAAACATATATTCTTACAATTTGTATTACTATTATTTAATTTAATTAGTTTTATTCATTTACAGTGTTGGGAAGTTACTTTGGAAATGTTATAGGTTATACAGTATAACAAATGTTATACAGATTACAAGTTACTCCATTTAAAATGTAATAAGTATAGTGTAACTATTTCAATTACTTTATTAAGGTAATGTAACTGATTACATTTTATTACTTTTCGGTTACTTTTCTAAATGTCTAATGTTTTCAAGTGGTAATCATTTTAAAACATTTAAAGCAGGCAATTATTTAAAGCAATAATAGAATTGAAAGCATAGCCACCACAAAATCAGACTTTAGCACCACTTTTTACTTTGAGATCATTCTGAGGTTAAATACTGATTTACAATCATAACAAGATAGTTTAATATACTTTTAAGATAGCTATATACTGTTTTTGAAATCAAATCTTTGGATAGCTATTATATGAAACACTGGTAGGTGCCTTGGAAAAAAGTGAATCTTAAAAAATAAAGCATATACATAAACCCAAACAGAAAATAAAACAATTATCAAATAAGCATATGTCCTATTCTGTATCCTAAACTAGTGAAACATTGGTGTCTCATATTTTAGAGCAGTCAGTGCAACTTATGAAAGAAGTCAATTAAATCTGTATGTGTGTGAAAATATTCAGATGCAACCCCCTTTGTAATAGTTCACATTTTCATAAGTAACATGTAATTTAATTACAATTACATTTATTTTGTAATTAAATTATGTAATTCCATTAAATGCAACTAGCTACTCCCCAACACTGTTCATTTATTATTTTGTTATCGTTCTTGAGCTTATTTTTTCATTAATTTATACAATTTGAAATGTGAATAATAAATTAGTATACAGAATTTAAAATGAACCTATAGATTAATAATTGCTTTATCGTTCATTGTTAGCTCATATCTAATGTATTAACTAATGTTAATAAATGACTTTATTCTAATCAAAAGAAATTCAGGTTACACTTTATTTTAAGGGGTCCTTGTTACAGTGTCATTATACATTTAAGTACTGAGAAATATTAATTAACTACATGTACAGTTAGGGTTAGGATTAGGGTTTGGTTTAGGGTTACTTGCATGTAATTATGCATAATTAAGTGTTATTATAATTGTAAGTACATGTAAGGTGTAACAAGGACACCTTAAAATAATGTTACCGAAATTCAATTATAGAGTAAAGATAGGTGCTTGTTTATCTAAGTCAAATGATCTCTGAGGAAATTAATGATGCAGCAGCCAATGTCACACAGACATTGTATATAAAGGCCTGTATAAACAAAAAAAAGTGTTTAATTGACAGAGATAAGATGTATGCATAATATCATACCTCCAATTGGGTTTCAGTAATCATGTACTGAATTCAGAATTGAAATGATCAAAAATGAACACTCCTAAATAATTGATGCATGTCTATGTAGGTTTCAGTATGAGGTGTTCAGCGATTAGCTTAATCCGTCAGCCTAACTCCACATTGTAAATAGAGTACTTATAGAGTAAAGATAGGTGCTTGTTTTATCTAAGTCAAATGATCTCTGAGGAAATTAATGATGCAGCAGCCAATGTCACACAGACATTGTATATAAAGGCCTGTAAAAACAAAAAAAAGTGTTTAATTGACAGAGATAAGATGTATGCATAATATCATACCTCCAATTGGGTTTCAGTAATCATGTACTGAATTCAGAATTGAAATGATCAAAAATGAACACTCCTAAATAATTGATGTCTATGTAGGTTTCAGTATGAGGTGTTCAGCGATTAGCTTAATCCGTCAGCCTAACTCCACATTGTAAATAGAGTACAATCTAAAATCTAAATAGAGCACACTAAATGAACTAATTAGCGTAAAGCTTCAGATCAAGGATTTAAAACCATAGCAGCCTACATCGGCCTACACAACACAAATAGTATGAATATTACTTTCATGTTTAAGCCTATATTACTCAAACCTTAATTACCACGGCATAGGCCTACCATAAAGATCTGCATGTGCACAGCAAAAATACTGTTTTTATTACAAGGCTCTTTGTAACTCTTCAGCAATCAGTCATGGATAATGACAGCTGTGCAGGGCAATAGTATAACTGGCCCTCATTTAGGCAACGAAGGCTCCTTCATTCATTGCTGTACTCTTCAGTCCAAGTAAGCTTAAAAAAATTATATAAACGTTATAATTAATATTTATGTCAATGTATCTATTTATTTGGCAATAAGCCTTGCAACTGAGTCTCTAATTGATCTGCAATTATATATTCATTCTGCACCCCTCGCAAAATGGCGCACAGTGAGCTGCTGCCATCACATCTCCGTGAGCGCGCAGACACACCAAAGCGCACCTGCGCATCACAGCGAGCAGACACTTGCAAAATGATTAAATGAATCAGTATACACCATTGTGACCATGCAAAGTAGTCTCTGAGGCAATGCCTATTCAATATAAATAGGTCTATCAGAGACAAGTTTGTATTTAGATGTTAAAATCATGAATTTCAATAGCAATTCAGTAATGTCTCCCTTCGCCATGAGAGCAGAGGCTGTTTACGCCTCGTTTATGAACCTCTCACATCATCACTCATTGTTGTCAGCAAAGAGGATAAAACGTGATATATAAAAAATGGCAATATGACAAAGGTGGTTCTTTCACTGGAAGGGCGACTGTAATTGGAGAACCCCCCTTTATTGATTTGTTATCGATCAATGGCCTAATGTAATTTCATGGCACACAGAGGAAAATGCCTGCTTACGCTGCTCTGTGGAGCTTCATTAGTTAATGCTATGATGGTCTGTCTTGCTGTATTATAATCTGTCATAGTTAATGCTCATCTCTCACCAGGCTCGTGGATCCCGGGGCTGTCGCTCATCTCCAGCACGAGCAGCTCTCGGCCCTCGTAACTCTCGCCCACCGTGTAGATGCGAGTGATGGAGGGGCACTGGAGCCAAACGGACACCAGCGCTTTCCGCATCTCCTCGTATCGGTGGTACTCAAAGGAGACTGCTCCTTCCCCCGCAGCATCCCCGCCTGAGGCCAGGGCCAGCATCAGCAGAGCCCCGCAAAACACCGCCGCCGTCATCGCTCCCGTCTTGTCTCTCTTAGCACTGCTGTCTGTCTGTCTGTCTGTCTGTCTCGCTTTCTGTTTGTCTCTCTGGTTCTCTGTGTCGTGTCGTGTCCTGTATGAACCGCAGAACTGATGCGTGAGCGCGAGCCCTGACTACCTGTTTAGTCGCGGGGACGCGCGTGAAATCGCGGACGTGTAGCGCGAAGATTACACACGCGCAATTGGTGAACGCGCACGGGTGCTACCCCTGCAGGGGCGTGGCTTGTGTAATGACGAACGAATTTACGGTGTTGTTGTGTGACATCCAATCGTCAGATTTAATTAAATGTAAAGTTATGCGATAGTTCACCCAAAAATGAAAATTCTGTCATCATTTACTCACCCTCAAGTAGTTCCAAACCCGTATAAATGTCTTTGTTCTGCCGAACAGAAAGGGAGATATTTTGAAGAAAGTTTGTAACCAGGCTGTTTTGGGGCACCATTGACTTCCATAGTAGGGGAAAAAAAATACTATGGAAGTCAATGGTGCCCCAGAACTGCTCTGTTTCCCACATTCTTCAGAATATCTTCCTTTGTGTTCTGCAGAACAAAGACATTCATACAGGTTTGAAACTACTTGAGGGTGAGTAAATTAAATGGGTGAACTGTCCCTTTAAGTAAAGCTGAAGTAGCTCAATTGAAATATCCTTAAGTAAACTGATTATTGTAGATGAATGGTGGGTTGATGAGACTGTGATGTGTGGACATTAACAATCACCTAAAAATGAAAAATCCTGTCACGGCTATGGAGGCCGTCTGGGAATCCTCATCCTGTACTGTCACGGTTATGGAGGCCGTTTGTGAACTTTTGTCTTGCCCCGACCCAGCCAAGGAGGCTGCCCCTGAACGCTCAGTCTTGTCTATCAACCCCAATGTTCTGTCTGTGTTGTCTGTCTCTGCTCTCTCGTTGTTACAGTCTCCGCCATGGTCTCCTGATCGGTGTGGTTCACCAGGGGGATTTTTTTTTTTAGCACCCTCAGATTCCAGATTTTCAAATAGTTGTATCTCGGCCAAATATTGTAAACCATACATCAATGGAAAGCTATTTATTCAGCTTTCAGATGATATATAAATCTCATTTGGAGAGTTTAATTTAAAAAAATAAATAAAAATTTAAAATAACCTTTATGACCCAGGGTCACATATGATTCTATACATATACAGTAATATGTATATCCCACCTCATATGGCATGTTAAATATTATAGTATGTATATTCTGTTCTGGGACAGTTTACCCACCCCATATACGGCTCTTTACATACTGTAATATGACATTTGACTTGTACGTTGATCAGTGATTAGGAATGTGAAACCGTGATGAAAACACATTTTAGGATCTATGTCTATTATACTATCTCTCACAGTTTAAATAGACCACAACCGCAGTCAACATTTTTGTTAATTTGTTTTTATTAAGTTGCCTTTAAATGAACAAGCTAACATTTCAATTAGCTTTCTCCCTTATGATCCATAAGTGTTTTTTTTAAATCATTGTTCCCCCAAATCCTTTCCAAGGCACATCTATATGCTATAGGTGGACACTGTGCAAGTTACAAAATCTTTACAGAAATTTAGCAAAAAAATCAGGCAAGGCAACAAAGCAACAAAAAAAAAGCATTACAAAAATATCAATTTATAACATTCCATCTTTGTTTAGGTGAAAGTAAAGTGCTTTTGAGGAATAATATCATTAGTACTTGAAACAGATGAATGTTTATAATAATTGAGAGCACAGAACACAGGCTGATATTCTTTCATTCCTAACAGTCCACAGTTCTTTGGAGTACCATGTGACCAGTGGTCTAATGATGACTGCGGGGTGTGTTTTTCTCTTTTAAAAGGCACATTGCTGTCAGAAGCTGGCATTGATTTGAATCCATTCAGTCCAATTTTAAATAATTTACAGTGCGTGTGTGCAGCAGGAGGCAATGCAACAGCATCAGACCAACCAAAGCCCACACAGGAGTCCAAGAGAGATAGATTGCTCTGGGTGATGGTGAAGCATCAGTGTATGCGATTGAGTGTATCTCTGTCAATCAGTCGCTCTTCACAGCTTTATGAAACGAGTAATGCTTCTTATACTGGGAGTCGGTGTTGAAAAGTCTGTCCCACCAGGTGAATGTAGAGCCATAGTTGCCCACAAAATTCATGTGGTGGAAGTCATGGAAACGAGCTCCAGCGTAGAATGGAATCCAATGTAAGGGGTTCAGAGGAATGTCGTAACCACTAAAGAGAGGACCAAAGAAGGAATGTCAAAGAATGAAACAAATACTATAAAAATAATTGAGTAGGACATACTGTCAACTCAATATTTAGTTTGATTTTCATAAAATTCAGAGAATTACTGTTATAGCCAAACTTGTGAATTAGAAAGTGGTGTCCACATACTTCTGGTGATGTGGTTTAATTGTGCACAGGCTATCAAATTAATACTGCAAGTTACAAAATCTTTACAGAAATTTAGCAAAAAAATCAGGCAAGGCAACAAAAAAAAAGCATTACAAAAATATCAATTTATAACATTCCATCTTTGTTTAGGTGAAAGTAAAGTGCTTTTGAGGAATAATATCATTAGTACTTGAAACAGATGAATGTTTATAATAATTGAGAGCACAGAACACAGGCTGATATTCTTTCATTCCTAACAGTCCACAGTTCTTTGGAGTACCATGTGACCAGTGGTCTAATGATGACTGCGGGGTGTGTTTTTCTCTTTTAAAAGGCACATTGCTGTCAGAAGCTGGCATTGATTTGAATCCATTCAGTCCAATTTTAAATAATTTACAGTGCGTGTGTGCAGCAGGAGGCAATGCAACAGCATCAGACCAACCAAAGCCCACACAGGAGTCCAAGAGAGATAGATTGCTCTGGGTGATGGTGAAGCATCAGTGTATGCGATTGAGTGTATCTCTGTCAATCAGTCGCTCTTCACAGCTTTATGAAACGAGTAATGCTTCTTATACTGGGAGTCGGTGTTGAAAAGTCTGTCCCACCAGGTGAATGTAGAGCCATAGTTGCCCACAAAATTCATGTGGTGGAAGTCATGGAAACGAGCTCCAGCGTAGAATGGAATCCAATGTAAGGGGTTCAGAGGAATGTCGTAACCACTAAAGAGAGGACCAAAGAAGGAATGTCAAAGAATGAAACAAATACTATAAAAATAATTGAGTAGGACATACTGTCAACTCAATATTTAGTTTGATTTTCATAAAATTCAGAGAATTACTGTTATAGCCAAACTTGTGAATTAGAAAGTGGTGTCCACATACTTCTGGTGATGTGGTTTAATTGTGCACAGGCTATCAAATTAATACATGATCAATATAGTGCCCTCTAGTGTTGTAATAAGTTATTATCAGCATGACATGTGTTTACATTGTAAAATTTATTGACCCAGACCATAGCACTGGTGTTAGTTTTGTCAGCTATTTTATAATTAATCTTAGACTTTTTAGATTTTAGAATATTTAGTCAACATTTTCTGTTTGTTTGTTTGTTTAGTCAAGGTTTAGTTGACTAAATGTGGGTGTATTTTAATCCAGGTTTAGTCAATAAAACTCAAAATTGTAATTGTAATCATGACTATTGATTAATTAAGTCATTTTTACTAATTAATTATTTTTTTTGTAATTTTCACCTATAAGCACAAATCAACAGAATGTCAACTCAAACACGATTTATTGTACTCATTTACTCATTGAGTTATGATTTATTCTATTATCAAATGAACACTCTCTACATTAAACTGGTACAACTCAAAAGCTTCTCTTAAAGTCGAAAACAGTCAAATTCCTAATATTAATTACAATATTTGCAAATTATGTTAATGGTTTTTCTTTTAAAACAAGGAACACGACTTTGTATTGTCACATTGAGCTTGCATATGTGCATTTATTCAGCAACCACAATCACAAACAGTATAGATGACATCCATATTTGGATTTATTATTATCAGTTAATTATTATTAGTTAATCACTGAGAAGCTTAGATTACAAATTTAGTCACAGTGAACAGCACAAGCGACCATGTGAAGGAACTCTGACTGGCTATATTACACTTTCATTTGAGCTAAATATTTCAGTGGAGAATTTACATGGTTTCAATGTTTTCAGACTACTGGCACCTTTTCCACATTGTAGAGAGAGTATGTGCACATAGTTGTCATGTTGCAAAGACTAAGTAAAACACATCACAGAAAATGTGTTCTTTTAATTCATTTAAACTTTAACAATCTGGCAACCTCAAGAATGAAAGCTCCTGAAGGCTTTTTGAAAACAGTTCAATAGACAATATTTTCTCCTGTTTTTGGCTTAAGAACATATAGGGTGATTTAGGTAGAGTTTATCTTTTTTGTCTACAATATTGCATGCTTATATAGTTACAATTAGTGTTTAATAATGTAGGCGTCGTCTCTTTTCAGCAAAGTTTTCATTGAGGAAATTAACACTACATCCACAAAATTGCAGTGTGTGTACTGAGCTCACCTGTGAACATCAATGGTTTCAAGAAGCCGGAAAGCGACCCAAGCCCAGAGCAAAACCATATGATTGCAGAAGACCATGATGCCGATGAAGAATCCAGCCCCCAGAATCAGAGTCTCAGCAGGGTGGGCATATTCTGCCTGCATACCAAATGGAGCCTAACATACACAAAACGAAACAGATGACAGGTCATCTATCATTATTAAGAAGTAAATTAAATAAACTAAACAATACATAAATAAATTACAAAATTACTAGGGGTTTAACAAAGCATGTTTCGTTTTGAGACACGATAAAGTACAAAATAATTATTATTTCTAAGACATTTTTTAATAAGTTAACAAAATTACAGTAAGGAGGCACCAGAATAGAAATATTTATTGCTAAAATAGATTATGATAGACACATATTCTTGCACTTAGTCCCTGACTACATACATTTTATTTCTAATTTATTCATAATAATTAATAAACATGAAAACTCAATTGCATGAGCTTCTGTGTTTACTATTTTTAGCGCTCTTTGTATGTACATTGTTCACTGTTTATATGTAAATAAAAGCCTAAATAAAATGTTCATTTTTGGGTGAACTCTATACAATACATATTGTCACAATCCACGATAAATATTGTTGCATTTTTGTATTGTGATATATACACAATATATTGTTACACATTTATATATTACAATATAAAACCAACATAAAAATATATAATAG